AATTTGAGCTCAGTTACCACTTGAAAGTTATTAGTTCGACCCTAAAATCACTAATAGGTGAATAACGCATAATTAAAATTATCAATTAAAAGCAATAAGTCACTTTCTAATTGTTCTAGATGTTTAGTCAATCAAATCAATTTTATCCTATGTGGAATTGCCACAATAACAATTAAAGAAATAAATAATAAAAGATTTGTTGACGAAGAAAACCTTCAACTAGGAAAAAACTCTAGGACCAAGCCAATAGTTTCCACTATAGACAATATGAACTAACAGTATGATCCAGCCTTGAAAACCCAATAGACTTGCTGATCTAATTCCTACAATCTCGAAGACCAACTGGGTGCTTTATTCGCACTTGCTCTCGATCTTCTGAAATTGTCTATCTCATGTAGATCACCAAGAACACATTGTTCATGAACTCTTCCTGTACTTCTGGTCCATCCTCTTTCAATCTACATCAATCTCTGTAAGCTATTGAGAAAGATTTATTTGATTTGAAGTTTTTCCCAACTTGTGGTTGATTGATCTGAAGAATCAAAGGTTTAATCTCAAAGTTTGGATGTGTTTTTGGATCTTTGAATGATGTTATGAAGATGTAAAATAATGATCAACCATCTACCAAAAACATACTGTGCATTGGGTATTTAAAATAAAAGGTAGTTAGGTAGTATATGATAGATATAATTCTTGAAAAACACAAACTAGGATTTATCGAAAAACACCGTTGCTCGAGCGAGAATCAGGGTGACAGGCGAGTGATAATGGTTTTGCTTTTTCTGCTGAAGCATCAGCTAGGCGATAGGCTAACATAAATTCGAAGACTCTTTCTCCTTATTCGATACTCAAAACGAAAGGCTCCAAATTTATCTATACAACCATCCAAATGATTCCTTAACTTTTAAAACTCTTTTGTAACAATTCTATTATTTTATAATAATCCTTTCGTCTAAAGACTTATCAATGCAACATAAATCCTAACAATAAACATTCCTGAAAGGATCGACTTGAGCTCATAATACACTTTATCACTTGAACGCGGCTGTGCACTTGCTGTTTATAATTTTAGCGAACAAGTTTTTCACACTGTTATGGGGAATGTTTTACTTTGATTACTACTATAACTAATATTAGTTTTAACAAATTTATTATTATTATTTTTCTTTTTAATTTTTTATATCCACAATTTTCATCTCTCTTGTGTTTGGTAAGTCTAACAATGATAAAGTAACAAAATGTTTACAATGACTAATCTCTAAATGGGCAATGAAGATATGCTTGGAGGTGATCTAAGTTGTGAAATTTGTTATGCTGTACATGTACGAGGTAATGCTTGTATTTGTGTATGCATTCACGTCGAAATTTCTTAAGTTTAGACAATACTTAAGGTGTTGAAAACAAGCACTTGACAAATCTGATGAGAGTTACATGCTCGTGGAAGATTATGTACCTAATGGTGGGATGATGACATCATACTCGTGGGAGATGGTCATCTTCTATTGAATGAGAAGGTACTTACAAAATACTATCATAAGCTTACCAAGTTGGATGAAAGCAACATGCCTATGAGAGATGTCATGTACTGGGATAGATTTCAAAAGTGAGGTGGGGGGCGGGGGGTATAATCCACTTGAAGGAGCTTATAGGAAAGACTTGCCATTACCCGTGAATTTAGATTGTGAACTGATCATTCAATCCGAGGAGACATCAACTATTAAAGAGGAGCTTAAAGTGAATAACAAATTAATCACATTGGAACCAAATGACAATCAACAAGGATGAAATTGACATACATTCTTTTGAAAATTGATTTTGTGAGTAAGCTCAATGAGAAGTTGGAAGTCTACATAGTTTGATTTGAAACGGATGGAAGAGGTAAGTTATATTTTATTGAAAAGGGCAATGAAGAGTTTTGGAGAATAAATGAAAAATGGAGTAAAGTCAAAATAATAAAAACTAAACAACTTTTGATGTCTATGATTCGAATTGTCAAAGTCGAGTTAATGACTTTAAAAAAGAGCTTAATGGAAGTCAACCCAATTTTCTTATTCTTAATCATTTTATATTCTAATTTTCTTGCTTTTATTTGATTATATATCATTTTTTAAGGTCTTTTTTTTTTTTTTTTAAATCGTAGGTTGATCATGGTTCTCAACAAGTTTGAGGGTCCATTTTGACTATGTTGGTCACACTTATCAACTTGATTTTAACTCGTATAATTCACTTTCACTCATTTCTTGTGATTTTGTAGGACCCCACAAGTTATTTCATGAGATGTTTGTTGAAGAAAATTGTTCGAAGTCAAGTCAATGCTTAATCACAAGTTTGGGGGTGAATTAGAAGTGAATTATTCAAGAGCATCATAAGTCCAAGTCAAGTATAAGCACCTCTTCACAAAACATCCAACTGGTGAAGTTTCGTTAACCCCCTCTTCTTTTATTTTGTTCTTTTCCAGATAGGGGACAATGTGGAATTCAAGTTTAGGGGTGTTCGTTTATTTTATCTTAATTGTGTTTGACATGTTAGACAGTTTTGTTGGCTAAGGATGTTTAAATTTAGCTAAATAGTCATGACCAATTGTTATCTAGATTTTGAAATTATTTATTGATGAAGTAATTTTGAATTGGTAGAACTAGGTTATAAGTTGTGTGAAAATTTCTATCAACCTACATTCTTTATCACTTAACCCTATTGTTAGATAAGTTTGGTGGTGGTCGAGCTGGTAAGAAAACTATTTGGAAATTTGTTGATTCCGTGTATATTAAATATATTTGTGTGGAGTGTCTTTAACTAACAAGTATAAAATAGGGGATGATCATATGCTAGGGATCTAAGCTCCATAATTTTTATTGATCAAAGAGGCATTGCAATTGCTAATTCTTGCCATTCTCCATGTCCTTTTTTACTCGAGTTAGTATGTCCGATATCTTGAAACTCGATGCCCTTTGGTCTTTAAAAATTGAGAGTTATCTGCCTAAAGCTCATTATATAGGTCAAGAAGAAAGCATAAGCGAGTGAGGTCAATCTTTAGATTTAATTGACAATTTTAATAGAAATTTTGCATTTGTAATTGATGTGGGGGTTAGATAACTAGTTGTTTGAATTATCTAGAATAAGCCTAAGTGTCGAAGCACTCAAATTTAGTGAGAATCATCACATGACTAGATGTTAACATTGTCGATTCGATACAACCAAATTAAAGTAGGAAAATAAAAGAGTGATTGGAGAGCATGAAAATTTTCTCCATCTTGACAATCTTTTCTAAGTCTAGGTGATAGTTGAAAGTGACTACACACGTCGATCAAATATTGGATAAACTTAATTTGTTTTTGGTAGCTTTATTTGGAGGCATATTTGTGAAGTGTTTATACAATTTTATACTCATGGATATTTTTGACAATATATCTAATATTGTTGATCTTTATCACATATTGCTTGATTGTGCTAGTAGATAATATTGCTCGACGAACAATAAATTAAGTTTGGGGGTGTTTGATAAGTGCATTTTTACACTCTTGTTGGATGCCTAAACACACTTGTTGGATGCCTAAACACACTTGTTGGATGCCTAAATAAGATTAATATTGATTAAGGGAACAAGTTTCTATTCACAATTGTGTAATTATTTTTTTTGTAGGGCAAAACCCCCAATTGAAGATGAGCAAGGCAAAAAGGAAGAGAATGGACTAAAAGTGCATAAAAACATGAAGGGACCAATATGTAAAGTACTGAAAGTTGAAGGACTTTGAATGCAATTTATTGAGGGCATAATCAAAATAAAATTCAAAATTCAGGGATCAAAATCTACACTATTAAAGTTGAAGGACTCGAGCAAAGGAGAGTGCAGGTTGTTTCAACCCAAAAGTAGAATGCCTTTAGGCTATGCGGCGTGTGAGCTGCTTCTCGGCTGGGCATAAATGCCCAATCCGTTTTGTAATTTTCCGTTCCTTTTGGGGCTATTTTGTGCAATTTCTTGGGGGCATTTTAGGGTATATGTAAGCCAAAATTCAATCACTTGTGCCCTATTCTTCATTCACTCTATTTTCACACTCATTTTGGAGGAAAAGGGCAAGAACTAGGGCAGAAAGGAGGAGAAAAATAAAGAAAATGGAGAGATTTTTGGGAAAATAAAAACCAAGCCATTGTTACCTTCAAAAATCCAACCAAAAGGCGAATTTTATATTTAGCCTTGTACTTCATCCATTATTTTTTTCCAATATATAATGTATTTCATGCAAAATGAGCTTAGTTCTTTATGTTGGGATTTACTATGTAATTTAACATAGCTTTATTAACTTCAATATTTGCTTTTAATTCCAAGAGCTCGGATCGAATCGATATATCATGTTAAAGTACTTATTTTTACGTGTTTTTATTATTGTAGTTTATGCTATTCATTTATTTGGCCAATGAATTATTGTATTGAGTGATTTGTGCAATCTTTGAGAGAATATTGTATATTTTAGACTAAGTAATAAATGAATTAAACTACTTGTATAATAAATTTGCACAATAATTTTGACAATATGTGAGGTGTATAGATCATTGCCATTAAATTCAAAAAAAATCTTTCAAATCAATAGATATAATGACTACTAACTCACACATTGTCAAATTCATTGTATAAGTAGCATAGTTCTTTATTGTATGGTAACAAAAAAAAAATTGCTAAAAAATTTGCCACTAACGTCAAAAAATATTTTTATTAATTGTTTTAATTTTTAGTCATTGAATAAAATTCTTAATGGGGATATAGCAATTAATAGTTTTTCATTTAATTTAAAGAGACAAATGAACTGTTTTTCTAAAATCTTTATTATTTTATTAACTTGATAAATTTTCAATTTTATTTTATTTATAAGGTTTTTATTTATTTATTATTATTTTTTATAACAGCGTGGGAAAAGAATAAAGAAAGAAAGAAAAGTTGACATATAGTTCAGAGTTCCAATAGTTCAGAATTTAGAAATTAAAGCCAACACCCAACAAGATCTAGTCTAAAATTTATCGCCACCACCGTTAGAATGGCGACGGCAGGTGGAGCCACCAAGAAAACCACAAAGCGGAGAAAGACTGCCAAGAGATTCAAAACCAAACTCAACGAACCTGAATCCTGTCTCCTTCGCTCCAACTCCACCACACCACAAACACCTTTCAAAGCTGATCCCCCTCCTCATCTCCACCACCTCCACCGCCCATTCTTTCCTCCTCAGCCATGACCTACACCTCCTCCCTTCCCAGTCTCTCACCTTGGAATCCCTTCTCTCCTCCACTGCCATTTCGCTCACTGGCCTCCATTCTCTCATCTCCTTCCCATTAACACGCACCCTACCACCACCACCGTCGCTGGGGCCAGAAAATTGGTTCCACTGATTTTTGTCCTCTCATGATTATGATCCGAGGTGGGTTCAATTTTTTAATCTCTCTAAGCCTTCTTTTACTCTCCTTCTTAGTCTTCTTACTCCTTCTTTGACCTCCCTCCACCCTTTGCCACCCAATGCTGCAGTCGCTGCCACCCTCTTCCGCCTAGCTCACGCTACTCCTTCTCTGCAATCTCACAGCTCTTCTCTATTGACTCCCCTACCGCCTGCCGAGTTTTTTATGTTGTCTGTAAGGCCATTGTGGATCATCTTAGCCATTTGTTTGAGTTCAATTCTGATATCAATAGGATTATAGTCGGGTTTGGGTGGATTTCCTTGCCTAATTGTTGTGGAGTTTCAGGAATTGAGAAATTCGAATTGGATGGGCATTCCATGGATGAAAGTGGGTGTTTGTTAGTTCAGGCTTTAGTGGACTCTGAAGGGAGGTTCTTGGATGTGTCAGCTGGATGGCCTGGCGGTAAGAAACTAGGAGATATATTGAAAAAATCAAAGCTTTTTACAGGAATTGAGGATTCAAAGTACTTAAATGGACAGCCATTTGAGCAAAACAATGGAAATTCAATCCCACAATATATTTTGGGCAATTCAGATTGCCCCCTTTTGTCTTGGCTTTTGACGTCTTTTAGTGAGAAGAATGGAGAGTTGAGTTCTATTGAATTGGCATTTAATAAGGTGCACAGTAGAGCTATGGATTTGGTTGGGACAGCATTTGCGAACGTGAAGAAAAGGTGGAAAGTTGTGTGGAAGAAATGGAATAGGCAATGTGTTGAGGCTTTTCCATTTGTTATTGTTTCTTGTTGTTTGCTTCACAATTTTCTTATCAAGTGCAGTGAAGTAATGCCTGATGAAAATGCGGAGCTTCGGAGGAATATAGAGCTCCCTGAGTTTGATGGAGAGGACGATGAGGGTGGGAAGAAGACATGCGATGCCCTTGCTTCGCACTTGAGTTGAATCAGAGAATATGAATATTGTAATCAAATGTAAACTTTTTAGCTCCTTCAATCTTTGATCTCTATGTAGCGCTTGTTTTGGTATATATGTTAGAGCAGTTTTTGAATGTGTATTGAGTTATAAATGCATTTGTACTTCCAACAATTTGTTTTATTATATGATCACGTCTTTCATCCTAAACTATAATTAATACTCGAAATGCAGTTGTATTGTATCTTTGGTAGAAACTGCACCTCTTGATGGAGTTGTCATGGTTGAAATCCCTTACTAGGTTCCATGATCATACGATATGTGTTAAACGAGAGAAATTGAGAGTAAAATACGCCTTGTCAATAATGTGATCAGAAGTTGGTGAAACTTTATTACGTGAAGTGAAGCCTTAGATATCTACTTCCGGGTGAAAAATTTAAAGAAGATACTTAAACATTTACTTGAATGGCATCCGTGGATAGTGTGGCAATTGGCGTTACTCCATAGTTGATGTAACCATGATATGCTTTACTAAACTAAGCTCAAACTAGCAGCAACTTCATTATCTCTTTTTTTTCTGCAAATTCATGAAGCCCAAATGGAAATGTTCTCTACTCAGTGAACTGCCATATTTCGTGTGTAGCAAGATTCAAACTATGAATTAAACTCAGGTGCTTCATAAACCTAACCGCATGTTAGACGGAAGTTTTGGTGGTTGATTCTTACCTTGAATATTGATTCAAAACTATGTCATATATGAGTACTTCCGCTGAAGAACCTTTTAAGTTTTGTGTTCGAAAAGTTGCATAGTGCAATAGTTAGTGAAGTTACAAGAACAATCTGAACATGATGTAGTACATCACAACTGCAATTAATAGTTTCACTTTATCTA